TTAATTAGCTTGATTTAATCATCACACAATATATATATATACATATCAAAACATGCATTGTACATCATAAGTACAATTTTTATTTATCAATTAAATCTTAATAAAGCTGAAAATTATAAAAGCAACTCAGCAAATAAAAAGTACATCAATTGAATTGTCAACTATATTCATTTATTATTAAACCATATTAAAAAAAACTTGGTGAAAGATTTCAAATAACTTCATCTATTTCATTGATCAGAAAAAATTAATCATAATTACCAATTTTTAAATATTATATTTTACTTGTTTTAAATTTTGATGAATCTTTTAAAAAATATACTTTAAATTGGTAACACAAAGTTGCAAAATTTGAGAAATACTGTTCCATGTAATTACAATAATTCCTATCTTTAAATAGCATATATGACAGTGTCCTTTCAGTGTTTTAGTAGAAATTGTGGCCAAAAATCAGTAGAGATGTAGAGGCTACTTCCTCCCTCTCCAAGACTTAATTATATAACAGATTCTTCTTATAAGTCAGTGAGTGAAATGTTCAGAACTTGGAGACAGACAACAGTCAAAGTAGTTTCTCAACAAAGTACTCAATTTCTACAGCATTAGGTAGCAATCAGATATCATTCACTCTCATTTCTCAGCATTCTGATAATGAACATTTCCTACTTTGAGTTTCAAAAGTTTCAGCAGTACTAGAGAATGTTATCTTGTCAATCACCTAGCCCCAACTATCTTGTGAGGAGGTGGTTAAACAAAGTTCATGGACAGTGAAGCTACATAGACATAACCTTGTCAGTCCTTTCATCTATGAGGTGTCCTTCCTTCATTTATACCCAATGGCAATGATGACATCATTTGGAATGTAGAAGCAGCTGACTCTTTCTCTACTGGATATTATAAAGAAGCAATTATGTAAAATGTTCATGACATAATGAAAAATACATAAAGAAACTTACATGCTCTCATTCTGTTTCTTGTTATGACTTAAATACATTATCTCAATGGAATAAGACAAACTAAGGGTTGCTGTGCAATGCCCTCCACATGACAGTTTAATCAAGTTTGTTGGTTCTTAGATGAAGCATAGGATGTATTGTCACATGGCAAATGATCAAAAAACATTTTTGACCTGCTTAAGCAGGTTGCAACAAGAGTCCCTATGCACCAAAGCATTTGAATCTCAGTGACTACTTGATGGCTTGGAAGTTTCATGATGTATGTATCAAGCCTCATGTCTCAAACAACACCTGATATATTTTCTAGACAGTCTGTAGTGATAAACTGTATTTCATTCATGATATTGGTGATTTGAATCTTCCCTCTTTTCCTCTGTGTCAGTCTTGGTAGAAATTTGTCAATTATATTAGCCTTTTTGAAGGACAAATTCTTTGTTTCATTGAATTTCTCTACTTTTTTTTCAATTTTATTGATTTCTAGTATTATCCTTATTACTTCCTCCATCTACCTTGCTCTGTATTTATTTAGCTCTTCTGATTTTAGAATTTTGACCTGGATTTTTGATTACTGATTGGAGATGTTTCCTTTTATTCTAATGTGTATATTTAGTGCTTATAAAATTCCCTCTCAATACTGTTTTAACTATGTTCTACAATTTTTTTATTGTGATAAAAATATATATAACATAAAAGTTGTTATTTTAACCACTTTTAAGTGCACAGCTCTGTGGCATTAATTACATTCACACTGTTCTGAAACCATCACCAGCATCCATTTCCAGAACTTTTTCATCTCTCAAGTTGAAACTATACACCTGTTAAAATACTAAATTCCCATTTTGCCTCCTCCTACCCCTGGAAACCATGATTCTACAATACTTGTCCATGAATTTGACTATTCTAGGTACTTTACAGTTCTATGAGTTTCTTGACATATTTTGCAGCTCTGTTGTTTGATGCATTTGGATTGCTAAGTCTTCTGGGTGGATTAACCCATTTATCATTATAGAATATCCTTTTCCATCTCTGATCATTTTCTTTGTTCTGAACTGTATTGATATAGCCATTCCTGTTTTCCTTTAATTAATGTTTGCATGATATATTTTTTTTCCATTCTTTTACTTTCAACCTGCCTACATTGTTATATTTGAAGTGAGTTTCTTATAGACAAGCAAATAGTTGGAACACATTATTTAATTCACTCTGCCAATCTCTCTCTTTAAACTGGTGTATTTAGATCATTTACATTTTATGTAATTGTTATGATGAAGTTTAGGTCTGCCATTTTAGTTTTGGTTTCTATTTAAGTTTCTCCTTATGTATTAAGTTTTCCTCTGTCTTGCCTATCTGTGGGATAATTAAACGTTTTTTTAAAATTCTTTCAATTTATTTGTGAATTTTGAGTGCAATCTTTGCATAAATATTTTGGTGACTATTCTAGGTATTACATTTATACATGCATAACTTACCACACAGTCTATCACAGTCCACTGATATCATCATTTTACCAGTCCAAGTGAAATATAAAAACCTTACTGCCCTTTACAACACTTTACCCTCTCCCACTTATGGGTGCCTTAAGTGTTTCCTTTAAACACATGAATTGAAAACCATATTAGACAGGATTATGATGTTTGCTTCCAATATCAAACATAACTTAGAAAACTCAAAAGGAGAAGGGAAGTTTATTGTACTTACCCACAATTTTGCTTACAGTGTATTTCTTCCCTTCTTGATGTTTTAAGGCTCCTCCTTTTATCCCTTTCCTTCTGCACAGGGAATTTATTTCTCTTAGCCATTCTTAGGGCATATCTGCTGGTGACAAATTCTCTTTGTTCTCCTTCATATGAAACATGCTGATTTCTCTTCATTTATGAAAAACATTTTCATTGGATTTGGTAGTATAGGTTGACAGTTCTTTTCTTGCAGCCCTGTGTCTTTTTCTTTCACTGCTTAATGTTTTTTCTTTTTCTTCAGTTTTCAGATGTCTGACTATATTGCATTCAGTGTGAATTTCTTTGGGTTTATTCTGTTTGGGGTTCACTCAGCTTCTTGAATCAGGAGGTTCATGTCTTTTGCTGAATTTTAGAAGTTTTCAGCCATTATTCCCTTGAACTCTTTTTTAGCCTTGCCCTCTTTCTCCTCTTCCTGAACTCAAACATTAGATCTTTTGTTATTGCCCCACAGGTTCCTTAGGCTTTGTTCATTTTTTTCTTTTTCAGTCTGTTTTCTCTCTGTTGTTCAGATTGGAAAATTTCTATTATTATATGACACAGTTCACCTGTTTTTTGCTTTTTCCCTTGGATATTGCTATTGCGCCCATTATCTGAGTTTTATATTTTGGTTATTGTTATTCTCTCAGTTTTAAAATCTTTATTTAATCTTCATACCTTTTTTAATGTTTGAATGTTTTGTATGCTCTTTTTAAATGACAAGTAATAATTGTATATATTTATGGGCTATAATGTGATGTTTTGATGCATACACATCAAACAAAGATGAAATCAAGATAGACATTCATCACTTCACTAATTACTTTTTCTAGTGAGGTTGTTTAAAATCTACTTTTTAGCAATTTTGAGATATACGTTTTATTTCTTTGTTAATGTTTTCTATTTCTTTGCTGAGACTTTATATTATTTTATTTGATTTAAGCATGTTTATAATTGCTTTCATTTGCCTTGTTATTATTTTGTATTTTCATATTTTAGGACACTTTTAATTTTTCTAGTGATAGCCCCAACTCACTCCCAGCATATGACACTTTTCTTGGTCCGCTTTTACTAGCCTTAAGTTCTTATGTTAGGCAGGGGTGAGGCAGATGCTAGTGGGGCCATGGTGCCAGAATTTGTGGATTTTTCTCATTTCCTCACAATTATTAATATATTGGAGTTTCATCTTTCTCTGTCATTAAGTAATACTTAGGGTGTGACTTGTGTGATGTGAGTCTATTTCATATAGTTTGTGAAAGAAATCATAGGAAGCTATTTACTACTGACTTCAAGTTTATTGAGCATAAGATGTATAATTTTGATTTTTCTCAAACATTTGCATTCTTACTTCTGAATTCCTGAATAACTCAATGTTTACTCACTTAGCAAATTCTTGTGCCATTCAAATTTTAAGATAAACTTTGCAAGCAAATTTGGGGACTGTCTTCCCAGATTCTGCAGAAGGTACCTAGTAGATAGGAATATTGGCTGGGACGTGACAGAATTCTTGTCTGATAATGGCGGGAGAGGCTCAAACCAAGATAAAATCAATAATAGGAATTCTGTAACTTATAGAAGGAAGTGGTCACAGAGTCCTTGTCTCTAATTTGAGTCATATCATTACCTAATTTTCAAACCAGGTGGAGGCATCATTTGATTAAATCATCTAATCTATTAATGTTCTTTTCTATTTTAAATTCTCATCATAATCTTCTAATCTAAATGCTAATACATTTTTTTCATAGTAATAATAACTACCTTGATAATACTAAGAAATAATCTTTTATATACAACTATGATGAATAAGCAAAAAACATATGGGAATTCTATATAGATAATGCCAAAACTCTAATCAAAGTTATAAAGTATGTCAGGGAGTCCCTGTATTTAAAAAATAAATTTCATAAAGGTATCAATTCTCCCTTAAATAATTTCAGTTTCATCATAATCTCAATGTCCAAAATTGTATATGGATACATTTGAAAATTGCTAAAGTAATTCCGGGAGGAAAAGAAGACTTGACTAGGTAAGTCAACATTTTTGAAAAGCTAATAAGTAAGACTTGCAATATCAAATATTTTATAATATTATAAATATATTATCCTAAAAATGGGCTGCCAGCAAAAGAATCAAATGTCAGAGAGATGAAACAAAAATGAATTGAGAAAGGATAAATGAAATAAATGAAAAATTAAAATAAAATAAAGTAATAGAAATATATAGCAAGCTTATACATATTCATGTATTAGTTAACTAAGGCTGCCATACATAATATCATAGGCTAGATGTCTTACAAAACAGAAATTTATTTTCTCACTATTCTGGAGGCTGGGAAGTCCAAGACCATGATGCTGGCTGACTTGGTTCCTGGTGAGGGTTCTCTTCCTGGCCTGCAGTTGACTGTCTTCTCTGTGTCCTTACGTGGTGGAGAGAAAGAGAGCTCTGGTGTCTTTTACTTTTCTTTTAAGGACACCAGTCCTATTAGATTAGAGCCTTACCCTTACAACCTCATTTAAACTTAATTATTTCCTTATATATCCTATCTCCAAATACAGTCACATTGGGGGTTATGGCTTTAACATATAAATTGGGTGAGTGGGAGCATAATTGAGTCTATAGCAACCAGGTAGTGTGAAGAATTAACTATAACAGTTACAAGAACACTAAATTGACAAAAGATGAATTGCGTTTGAAATAAATTAAGATTATCTTAATGTCAGCACACCAACAGATAAATTTGTGGTAAAAACATGTCTGTGACTATTTTTTTCATTTAGAGTACCTAAAATCCCACAACCTTCAGCACTATTTACTTCTGTATTATTTATTTATTTTTTTTTTTTTTTGAGACAGAGTCTTACTTTATTGCCCAGGCTAGAGTGAGTGCTGTGGCGTCAGCCTAGCTCACAGCAACCTCAAACTCCTGGACTCTAGCTATCCTCCTGCCTCAGCCTCCCAAGTAGCTGGGACTACAGGCATGTGCCACTATGCCTGGCTAATTTTTTCTACATATATATTAGTTGGCTGATTAATTTCTATTTATAGTAGAGACAGTAGAGAATCAGTAGAGATTTTCTATATATATATTAGTTGGCCAATTAATTTCTTTCTATTTATAGTAGAGACAGTAGAGAATCACACTTCAGATGATTCACTTGCTCATTATAGTTTGAGAACCAGTTTGATTACCTCTGTGAATCAAACTGTTTTAATTTTCACTGCTCCTTTCTAGACCTTGCCCCCAAATATATATCATTTTTACAGTGTTTTAACCATAGTGTAAATATACATTTATACTCTGCTTAAATGATTCATAAGAATGTTCTTGTGGTTATTATAGTAGAGACAGGGTCTCACTCTTGCTCAGGCTGGTTTTGAACTCCTGAACTCTAGCAATCCACCTGCCTCAGCCTCCCAGAGTGCTAGGATTACAGGCATGAGCCACTGCGCCCAGCCAACCTCAGTATTATTCTTGTCTCTCTTCGAACATACATCTCTGTATATAACTGAAAGGCACACCAAGAAATACACCCACCATTAGTCTTCTCCTCCTGCCATCTGCCATATTGTTTGCTCCTTTTGAATGTGTTCCCTGAATGGATGGAGGAGAGGTATTGAGGAGGGATAGAGAAGGACTGCGGGTGGCCCTGGCTCTAGCTGTAAAGAAAGCATATCCACAAGGAGAAGCTGTAGTTTTCAGGTTATTTTTCTCCAAGTCTCCAATCTAAATTGGGGGTACTAAAACTATATTTTAGACTTATTTTCTATTCGTCTCAATCTTCCTTTTCCTCCCACAAGGATACAGTACATAGGTCATAATTGTGTTTCTCAATCCAGTTTTATCTGCTTCTGGTCATTCATGAAAACTCCTCTGGGCCCCTTTCCAATGGTTGATACATATCCTACGTTTTCAGAATGATTTTTAGGTGCTATCTTTAACTGTCTTCCTGAGTATTTTATTGGAAAAGGTACTGATAATGTTAAAATACAAACTGCAATTTAATGTCTGTTTAAAACTCTTATTAAAGCTCTTAAATAAAAGAAAAATTTTCACATGACGTGACCTTGTGTATTCATTAGTTCTCTCCCAAGTCAGACTAACACCAGCCTCCTAATTTGCATTACTGTATTGTTCATTTTTGATCTGTATCATTATGTCAGTCATTATGCAATGGTTCCCATGCTATTAAGTTCACAGAAGAGAACAAAGAAATGACCTCACAGCCATTTCTTATTTTTCTCACACTCTTCATCTCATTCAATAGCCTTTCAGAACTATCTGCCCTTGACATACTTTAATAACAAGGTAAATTTTAATGAACAATTAATCACTTTTGCTCAGCTCCCCATTTGCCCTGCACATTAATTTTATGTTGAGAATTTGTCTATAATATCTCTACTTAAAACCTCATCTTTCTTCTCTCTTTCATTATTTCTGAGCTTGGTCAAAATCTAAAGCCATACCATAGCCAAATGGTTGAGATAAGCAGTTCTAGAAAAACAGAAAACACACCAACAAAAAAGTTCATCCCATTGGTTGGCTTGTCTGACATCATGCTCACAGTAAACCTTTCCTCCTAAGGGGTTTGTTTTTACCTTTTAAACTAAATTCAACAAACAAAACAGCTTGGCTAGCATTGTAGCATAGTGGCAAAAAAAAAAAAAAGTGCATTACAATTAGGTATGAAATGTAATCTTGCCTCTGTCACTTCACTTAAGCGTCTATTATCTTCAAATTTCAGTTTCCTCATGTAACACAGAATCTTGAGGATAAACTTAATTATGTACTCCAAGTATCTGGAGCTGCTTCTTTACCCTTCTTCTTAATGCCCTTCTTCTTAATGCCCTTTACCCTTCTTCTTGATATAGTTTGTATAGTATACTTTCAGAAGGTAACTATTACTGTGTCTGTCCTATGTCTCTACTAAAAATTACATGTAATTTCTAATCTGATTTTTAAAAATATGATGAGATTGAATGAAAGAGTGACTGGAATTTCGTCCCCATGAACAGATGAAGAGAAAGATGAAACAGGGACCAGAAAAAAGCTGGAGGTTTGAAATACTCATGAAGCCACAGTGGTTAACTCAGTTAAAGTTCAATCCAAGTATCTAATCCAGATGCAGAGGTGGTTAGTATTAGGGCCAATGTGGATATCTAGATTATCAGGCGGGCTGATAATCGATAACCTTTATTGTACACTTTCTATGCACCAGTCACAGTTCTAAGCACAGCAGCCAGTTGGGCAGCAAACATTAATTAAATCACAGCAGGCCACAGCTACATGGTTTCTGCTGATAAATCCCTTTAAAGCAGGAAGCTAATTAATGAGTTGACCCAAAAGAGGCAAGTCAGTACCCTGGAGAGAGTGCTAGCAAGAATACAGCAGGTTACAATGTGTGCTGGGGCACAGATGAGATCCAGTTTCAACAGGGAAAACCAGGTCTGAGGAGGAAGGATGGCAGCGTAGATGCAGCAGATGTAGGTTCACCCAGAGAGGTGGTTACTGAATCCCTGACAGCCGTCTTAACTTCAGTACTCCCCAGTTAGAGAGCTATCATTGCACAGTCCTCATCAATTAATAAACTGTTGCCATAAATTTCTTTTCTTTGCACTGCTCAATACTGGGAAGTATATCGCAGTAAGTTAGCAAACTCAGTCTCTCCCCAGGGAATACACAGGGAAAATAGAGGCCCACAGACACAGGCAATTAAAAAATGATTAATGTGGGTCAGAAATATGTAAATGTCATAATATTTTACATCAACTGTGCAAAATTCAGTCTATCACTTTGTGACTAGATGCTGGACAATCAAGTGTAGTATATTCCTGATATTTCTGGGGCAAAACCCATAATCACATTAGCAGACTCTGGTTATAAACTTTTAAATCACCACAACCCTGTGACAGTGCCTCCAAAAGTGGACCACTTATGACTTGCTCCGGAGTCATCTGGGAATGTTTTTTTTAACATGTAAGTGAGTAACTGAATACAAATCTCGTGGGGTGGGCCTAGAAATGTGCATTATTAGAACACACTTCAGATGATTCACTTGCTCATTATACTTTGAGAACCAGTTTGATTACCTCTGTGAATCAAACTGTTTTATTTTTCACTGCTCCTTTCTAGACCTTGCCCCCAAATATATATCATTTTTACAGCGTTTTAACCATAGTATAAATATACATTTATACTCTGCTTAAATGATTCATAAGAATGTTCTTGTGGTTACAGTCTTTTTTTATAGTCATTTCTAATGGTTACATATTACTTTATTATAATATGGAGCGTATTATGTTACTCAATGAATCATTTACAATTCTTTTGTCCCCAGTATTCCTCTTTGTCTGCTTTTGGATTATTTAAGTATAATGAAGTCCCAAAAATCTGGCCCCCAATTTTTTTTTAACTAGCATCAACTATAGGCAAAATATCCATAAAAGTCAGCAGTTTTCACTTCACATTCATAAAATCAAGTATAAAATCGAATGCACTGAAAGATAGCCTGAAAGATATTTATTTGGCCAGAAGTAGTGAGGGTAGGGGTGGGAAAATAACATGTGATACATGTAACTTGAAAAACTCTATCATTAAAAAGAAGTTTTTTGTTGTTGTTTTGTGGAGAGAGAACAGAACTGCTTTTTAGATGCTTTCTAAATGTAAATGAATTATAAATGAAACCTCAAAGATGGTACAACTTCCTAAAAGTCATTTATAATAGTATTCCTTATGCCACCAGGAGATTGTGTCCTGTATTTTTATGAGATATATAAACCAGGAACAGGAACTATCTGGTTCCTGCATGATGCTAACTGTATTTTTGCTTCTGGTCTTGACCATACCAATCCACTCTCTTCTCTGTAGCCAAAGTCCTGTTTCTCAGTCACATGACCACTATTGATCATCACTACACTGTCCCTTAGATAAAACACTGTGCACACATTTTAATATGTCTCCTCACAGCCAGGTCAGTCCACTTTAACCCTCCATTATGCATTTGGGGCTTGCTTTATAGAAGGCTTTGTGTTAGATCCTTCCTCTTATATACTTGCCCTGTAGCTTTCTTGAACTTCTCTAATTTACCCTTCCAATTTACTCTTAATAAATCTGGATTGCTAATCCCCTTTTCAACAATTGTATTGCCAATTGTTACCTCTTGTCATTTGTGCTTTTAAGCTAATTATATTTTTGGTATTAAGAAGTTTTCAAATATTTATACTCAAATTTTTCTATTTTCCCCATATAATTTGTTCCTTTACTTTTTTTGAGATTAGAAAGACATTTCCCAAATAAAGATAAATATTCATTTATATTTTATTCTGTTAGATTTGGTTCTCAGGGTTTTTATTTTTGTCACTCAATGCTGTAATCTGTCTGAAACATTTTTGGTGGCATGAGAAAGTGATCCAAATTGTATTTCCAAAAATTTTAATGAAACGTTCCAGAACATTTCTTGTAAAATCTATTTTTTCTTTATATTTTATAATGCCATGTCTACTACCAGTTGTTTATAGCGACATTCAGGTTTCATTCTAAATTGCTCCTTTTTTCTCAGTATCCTTCCACAAACCTTCACCCAATCTTTAACCAAGTCCTCTTGTTTCTACCTCACTTTATCTCATCTCATACTCCAACACCATTTGGCCCAAGTCACCATCATTTCTCATCTGACCACTGCAAAAGCCTCGTAACTGGTTCCCTGTCACCTTGCCTTATCCAATGAGTTCACCACAGATCTGCCAATTGATCTTTAAAAATGTAAGTCAAATTGTATTACTTTTCCTTCCCACTTAAAATTCTTCAAGTCAGAGATTGGAAGCATGAGAAGGACTCAACCTGCCATTGCCATTCCTGGAGGGGGCCACGTGGAAAGCATGAGAGGAAGAAGGCAGGCAGCTTCTAGAAGCAAAGGCTGGCCTCAGCTGACCACCAGCAAGGAAATGGGGACCTCAGTCCTATAACCGCAAGGAGCTATGTTCAGCCAACAGCCTGAATGAGCGCGGAAGCAGATTTTCCCTCTGAGTTTCCAGCAAGGAACCCAGCCCTGTGGATGCTTTAATTTTGGCCTTGTGAGACCCAGCCAAGCCCACATGACTTCTGGCCTATAGAAACTGTGAGATAATTTGTGTTCTTTGTGCTAATTTGTTATGGCAACAATAGAAAGCTAATGCAGGGGTTTTGCTGGCTTAATTTCAGATTTGGGGAGGATTATTTTCTAGAGAACAAAGGTAGTAAACATTATTTTGTAAAGTGATTTGGTCTTAGGAGACTTCGCAGAATGGTGTTGAGTGGAACCTATGCCTCTTCCTTGATGTTTAAATATTCTGCTACTGTCCTTAGATGCAGTCTGAAGGGGCTAGATGACCAGTATGGTAAAACGTAGATTCTACAGCTCTAGGCCATTTTGGTAGGATTTCTATAAATTGGTGATTCTTCCATGTCTGTAATAAATTTCTTAGATAGATGAAAAAATAAAAAACCTCTTCTATAGCCTAAAATTAATTGATATTCAGTACCAGAGTATACAAGACCATGCATATCTGTTTAAAATTGTTTTAAAAAACTAAATCTGTAATTTAAAATATAACCATGAAGAAATCCCCGGGTCCAATTGACTTCAGCAGTAAAATTCTCCAAACATATACAGAAAAAACAA